CCGGCGTAGGACCACGTTGGTTAGGTTGATTTGACGATGATGTTTGTTGAGAATTCACAACTCGGTTTGCAGGAGATGATGAATTATATGAATTAGTGTGAGATGGTGGTGTGGTTGTAGGTGAGGTTACTTTATAATTGATAACATAAAAACAGATGAAAGTCATTAGAATATGCTAGCATCGAATGCATAAAAAGCTTTGATCTAACAAAAGTTCGGATTGATTAATTAATGCTTAATGACGAACTTGAAGAAGGGCCTGCATTATTAGGAGAAATGGATAGAAGAGGATCTTCTGAGACATTATTATCAGGTGGAATGGTCGGAGAATCATCAGGAATTGCAGGGTTTGTGGTATCTGTAGGACTATCCTCTCCTTGGTTCTGAACTTGGCTTTTAACATTAAAAATTCAAATTGTAAATATTTAGTAATAATATTTAGTCATAATTTTATTGCCGGCTGTGCATACGTGATGATTATATAGAAATAGGTAAAAGTTAATGTATAATAACATAAACTTACTTTGATCGGTTGGCAGCCATCTGGGGATGTGAATGATCTTTTACAGTCAATCAGAAACGGACATTGAAAGACGACTTCCTATACAATTAGAACACGTAATGTAAAGCTTAATAAATGAGTAAGGGCACAAACAAGTAAGCCTTATTTTGTAGAAAAATTAACAACTTACTGACTGACTTTAAAGATTAGGTGTTATATTCTTATTCTTTATGGATATACTTTTATTATTTTTCAACCAATAGCAAACTTGTAACAGTTTTTAACAAGATGGATCTACGCATATAACTGATATTTGGAATACGTACCGGTTAATATATAAATATAACGAAATTAAACTGCTTTCGTGTAACCTCTCATCATTAACCGGTAAAATTAATTTAAAAATTTCTTTTTTAGCACATAGTCACATGGTATTTTTTATAACTTTAACAGATAACAATAGTTTCCGAACATACGTTTAAAAAAAATTTTAGAAATGAAACTAGTTAAAAAACGAATTGAAAAAGATCGATCGGTAGGCCTCACAAAAAAACGAACATATTCTGAATAGTCATTAAATTACATTATTTATATTCGTCACTGAAATGTAGGGATTCGTTGAGCTTTATCCCGAAGAACTTGAGGATATGTGGCATGTGTATAATCTAATTTCAATAGGAGATAATTTGAAAGCTACAACAATACGGTAAAATGTCAAAATTTCCATTGCCTCAACTTAAATGTTCAATTAAAACCGATTGTTATCTATCTATATAATATAGGCGTGTTCAAAATGAAAGTAGCACTGGTTCGGTAGAATCACAACGGATAAGACTTACTTTGACCATATCAGTAGATGATATAGATTTTGATCCACAAGGAGGTCTATTGAGAATTAAAGGACGTAATATTGTCGAAAATAAATATGTTAAAGTATAGTTTCCATATTTGTATAAAGTTTCTAATGTATTTATATGAAACGCTGTATGTTATCTAAAACTTTATTTATAATATATCAGATGGGCATGTATCATACGATTGATCTTGAATTAAATCGAAATTTTACGCTATTTAAAGCAGAATGGGATATTATTGCACTTGAACGTATTGAAGAAGCATGCGATATTACAAAGCAGGCTGATGTTGCAGCAGTCGTGCTTCAGGAAGGTTAGCCGATACACAGATTAGTCTTTATTTAATATTTTTATCTTTATATCTATCACTACATCCATAATTTATTAATTTAGGTCTAGCAAATGTATGCTTAGTTACACAACACATGACTATAGTGCGACAAAGAATTGAACACCCTATCCCGCGTAAACGCAAGGGGTTTGTGACAAATTACGAAAAGGTTTAAATTGTAATTAAATGTTTTACATAAATCAAAAAAAATTTTTTTTTGATTATGAATTTTTTTTTTTGTTACTCAAGGGTTTACAAAAATTCTATGATCAAGTGTTACAAGCGATTTTACGACATGTAAATTTTGAAATAATCAAGGTTATCATTTTAGCAAGCCCTGGATTTGTTAAGGTGAATATTTTAAAAGTTTAAAGAATTTATTACACTATATTAAGTAAAATAATTATAATATCTCATTCAATAAAGGACCAACTTCGTGAATATATATTTGCTGAGGCATTGGTATTTAAATTTTTCATTATAATCATGTTAGACTGCTACTGATATCATATTTACATGCCCTTGGTTTATTATGGGGTGATTAGAAACAAGATATTAGGTCATTATTGGAAAATAAATCAAAGTTTATTCTTATTCATTGTTCGTCGGGTCATAAACATTCACTTCAAGAAGTGCTACAAGATCCTGCTGTACAAAGCCAATTAACAGACACAAAGTTCGCAAGAGAGATTGTAGCTCTAGATAAGTTTTTCAAGATGCTTAATGATGATCCTGACAGAGCCTTCTATGGTTGGGATCATGTAAGGAAAGCAGAAGAAAGGGGCGCTATTGGAACGTTGCTTCTTTCCGATGAATTATTTAGGTATTATAAAGGCACAATTCAACGTGGAGTAACGTGAAGTACAAATAACATTTCAAGTTTATTAATCTCCTATAATTTTTAAAGGTCCGCAGATATTCCAACCCGTAAAAAATATATTAATCTTGTCGAATCAGTTCGTTCAATTGGAGGCAAAGTGTTAATATTTTCAAGCCTACACGTTTCAGGAGAACGTATGTGGAAAGTTTTGTGTGTGAAATTTATGTAAATTTACTATTTATTAACTATGATTTATTTTTAGAACTTAATCAGCTCACAGGAGTAGCTGCAATTCTTAACTTTCCTTTACCTGACATCGAATTAGAAGAGGATGAAAATAATCAAATAGCAGCAGAAGATAATTCATAATAATTTTGCTCTCTTGAATTGATTTTGTATTTAGTGTTTTTAAAATAGAATTAATATTTTGAGTTGAAAATTTATGAACAATCAAAAACTGTACAAATTAATGTATATAAATAAAAGTTGAAACTCTTCTAAATTTATTATTATACAAAAGAAAATTTTATTTTTTAATTCTTTCAATTCTCTTTTTCAAGAAAAAGGTTTGAATCTCTTAATAGAACGTTAAATATTTAATCGATGATAGAAAAGAATTGTTACGCGTATTATTTGAGCGGGAGCAATAGTGTGGCTTATGATGAATAGTTTGTAAGAGTAGGAAATCTGCAGTCTCTGGGATTTTTTGACATCAAGGGCCCACAAGATATCTTTGCAGATAAATTTTCCTGCAAATTGTTATCTAATGCAGTGTGTATTACAGGCTTCACGATGATAGTGTGATAATGTAAGAATTTGAAATTTCAAAATTCATGGTTACACGATATCAATTGCTATCTCACAAGAGATTAATCGGTATTTTCAATACATTTATCGCTATGTCGAATTACCGTAATCTATTCATTTTTTTTTCATAATGGAGTACAAAAATAATTTCGATATCACTTTCGCATGCAACAAAAGAAGATGGTTATAAAATGAAGTTACGCACTCAGAAGAGTGTGAAGCATTGCATGTGATTAAATTATGACCATGTCAAGGACGTGAATGTAAATTTGACATTTTTTTCGCACCTTAAAATATGGACTCGAAATGGCAATTTCATTTTTATTCAACAGGATTTTTGAGGAAACAGATTAATGTTAAGGCGGAAACCGTACCAAATTTATTTATGGTGACTGCTGCCACTCCAAATTGACAAAAAATACACAAATTAAAAAAAAAATACAGCAATTCTATTGGTTGTAAAAATATAAAAAGTACAAAAAGCTACTGCAATTTGATTGGTTAATGCGATGCGTATTTTTTTATTCTTAAAAAATGGGGAATTATCGTTATGTTACCGTAAACAAATAATTAAATTGGTCTGGCCTAATAGATAGATAAAGAAATAAATGTCGTACGTCGGAACGAAATTATTGTAGATTTAGAATCCAAATATAGTCCAAGTTGATACGAAATTTAAAAGCAACTTAAATCGATTCTATATTTGATACTATAATAATCGGTAAATTTAATAGCAACTTATCGTTATGTTGATTTTAAATTCGATACTGTAATAAACCATGATATATTGTCAAGATAAAATACTAATCTTTTATCATTTCTTTTTTTTTTCATTCTTTGCAACTCTCTCTACCTGACGACCGAATATTAAGGTTATCCATTTTACCCCGTAATGTATTCAAAGAATTGGTTTCTAAATATTTCAGTAATGAATCGGCAAGAAACCTTATGTGAAGACTTTACAAGATTCAGCAAATACAACAATCGGGGATGCGAAAAATCGTTATTTGGCAAAAAATACATTTGCAATACGTGATTAAAATAGTATTCTTTCAATGCTCATAAGCATTCAAAAAGCATTTATTATGCAATCCTCTTCACAAGTAGGTAATATTAAATGCAATTGCAAAAATGTATGAGACAAAAAATGTAAAAATAAATATATCCTTTAGGAATAGTTGCTATCCCACTAATAATAGATGTAAAAATTTCGTGTTATGCTTTTAAATTTAATTAATTTGCAATGTACTGTGTTATGAATAAAACCTATCTTAAAGTGATTTAAATTCCAAAACAACGTACTCGATGAAATACACATAATTTTGTTGTAAGTTGAATTGGAATTCTTTAACGACTCAGGCACATTTTAGAATTCTATTACAATCTATGTTTATTCGGAATCAACCTAGGTGGATTCTAAATCTACAATAATTCTATTCATAATAATAATACGACAGGGTGAAACCCGCGATAGAAATCCGCGAAAGTGGTTACGTTATTGATGCAGATCACTATCTAATATAGTAACTAACCCTAACTAGGGCTTAAGCCCACTCACCCGCCAACCCGGGAACTGATACTTACTGTGGTTATCCGGAATAATTATGCTTACCCGGTTGATCCATAAAAATTTTTTATGCATCGTTATTAGCATTGTTAGGGATGCTAACGGCCTGATCCGACTTGTACAATTTTATATTTATTATTTTAGTCATAGAGTCGATTGAGTCGTTAGCATCCCATGCATCTTTTCACGTACTTATATAATTTTAACCCGGTTAACCGGGTCAACTGAATTATTTAGGCAACTCGATTTTGTATTCCGGTATAATTTTATATTCCGGTTTGTAATCCGGAAAGCAAATTTTATGTGGGCTTAACCTTATCTTCATCACCAATGTAACTATCTCTGTCACAAAGATTCTCAATCGATACTAAGAATCCTGACAACACTAAAACCCCCGATATCGTCCTGAACTGTAACTGCAAAATCATGCAAATAGTTTGTGATTGGTTAGTTAATGGTTAGGGCAGGGACGATGATTTTCTGCATTTACATAATGCCGCAGAAAAATCATGGAATTGGTTGATCATTTTAAATCTTGGCCTGGATTTAGGATCTAAAGTCTTCATAACGTTGGCTGACATTAATTTGGCTAGAATTTGTAATTATAATGCTGACTGACTTTATGTAATTCTGGCCAATCGCAAAATTAAGATTTTAGAAATTTCTAAAAAAAATAATAAATGAACATAAAAGATGAGCAAGGTTAGAAAAAAATTTTAAGTAAATCTCTGATGTTTTTTGAAAAAGAAATGCAAATTAATATAAAAATAATTTCTTATTGCAAATAAGTATGAAAAAATTTGGGTGTGGCGACTTAGTAAAGTGGTGGAGTTGTCGCACCCCAGACGGCAGGTCTAGAGTTCGAATCCCACGGATGACGTTTTCGAAAAATAGCCCTGTGATACGGTTAACGACTATTTAATGATTGGTAGGATCTAGAAATCTGTAATCTCGGTCACACCATCTAGAATGGGAGCTTTGGTGTAATAAATCTGAGATACCGGAAGAACTGAAAACCTGTTTGGCAAGTCCCAAGTTAGGAGGTAGTGCGATCTTCAACAGTACTACAGAAAGACCAAATTTGGAACTGGAGACTAAGATCGGAAAACCAAGTAACCAGGTCCTTAAGTGGGGAGACATACTAGCTGAATCACTGGGTCGCCAAACCGGAGAAAAAGGACATATGCTCTGGAAGCATGTAGCAAGGGAAGGAAGACTATATAGATACCTAAAGTCTAGATGAACCAACCCTTCCGGATTGCTAGCTAGAAGTAAGGGAGAGACCGATAAAGAATCTGAGAAAGAAGGAAAGTTCAAATGTGGGTGCTGGGGTTGTGCAAACCCAAAACAAGGGCAGGAGTATGTAACAACTACTAAAATAGGAAGGTTGTGGTTTGAGATATGGATCGGGTTACGGCAGTATCCTAAAAGATAGCTCGAGATACGAACCCGGTGGCGGCAACACAACAGGTACTAGATT